TGACGTACTAGGCCCTGGCCCCTCCTCACCACGCATCTTCCAGTGAGGAGGCCAAATCTCAGTAACCAGAGCAGGGGAAAAGCAGGCACTACAGGTCCAGCCGCACTTCCTACAATGCCGGAGCTGCCTTACTGTGTGTGTGTGTGTTGGGGGGGTGTCAGCGCTGGGACACAACAGTAACGAAGCAGCTACAATGCTATAATTCATCTACACCCAGGGCACTTGTGGCCAGGAGGCAGAGAGGCTGGCTGCCAAGCTACAGAGAGAAAACGTTAACAAGTTCATTCATTTCATTTCATTTTATTTATTGATCTATCTCATAGATGTTAAAAGTTTTTCTTCCTCGCATTAGTTATGAAAATTTAAATGCTGGATGGGTGATTTCATCCAAAAACTAATTTTGACTGGATGTCAACTGTAACTGCATTTTTTTTAAAGAGAGACAGATTTTTGCTATAGTGAGCATGTCCTTGCCAGAGAGACAGAGACAGAAAGTGAGAAATCCCCCTCCCGGGGGGGAATAGCCATGCCACAATCTCTTCTCCTTCACTCTCTTCTCGGGATTTTGGGCATGCACGCATACGCGCCCAGTGTGAGTTTTAAGCCATCAGGTCCAGGACTCAAACTATGGTCGACTATATAGGAGTCCAACAACCTAAATAAACACTATGCCATCTGCTAATTTTGCAGCTGCATTTTTTAGGTGCAATTTTTTTCCCCCCAGAGTCCCACTACTTTCTATTACTCCAATACTTCAGATTGAAAAGTTTTGCTTTCCTTTAGAAGGAAAGCAAAATAATTTTTTACTCACTTCTCTAGGAAAAGTGGAAAAAAACAAGACCCCAAGTTTCTAGAAGTCCTAATTCCCTTCAATAATCAAGGATATCCCTACATGTTTAACAAAGCAGGCCTGAGTTAGAAGAACGGAGCTTAGCTATAAGCTATTTACCATCATACACTACATTACTATTAAGCAAACCATATTAAGAACCATTAGTAGTATTCAGAAAACATGGGTAATAAAACGGAATATAAAATCTCAAGTGAAATGGAAAAAGACTGACATTTTCTTTTTCTTTTTTTGGAGAGGTTTTTGCTATAGGGCGCGTGCACTCGCCAGAGAGACAGAGAGACAGAAAGCGAGAAATCACACCCCGGGGGGATGGCCACACCTCCCTTCTCCATTCTCCTTGGGATCTTGGACAAGCATGCACACATGCCCGGCGTGAGTTTCAGCCACCAGGTCCAGGACTCGAACCGTGGTCAACTACATGGGAACTCAGTGACATAGCCATTACGCTAACTGCTGGTTCAATACAGATTACTTCCAAATATAAACAAAAGGAATGATACATCTGTTAAAAAAAAAAGCAGTTATTGAAAGTACCCAAGCTGTTAGAGATGGCAATTTTTGCTAAAAGGTGTGTGTGTTTGCTGGACAGAGACAGAGAGATAGCAAGAAATCACTGCTCAGGGGGATAGTCATGCCACAATCCCTTCTCCTCCATTCTCCTCTTGGGATCTTGGACACACATGCACACACACCCAGCGTGAGTTTTAAGCTACCAGGTCTGGGACTCAAACCACGGTCTCCGTGGGAGTCTAGCAACGTAACCATTACACCATCTGCTGGTCTCGGAGATGGCGAATTTTAGACTTTACTCCACACAGCAGAAAACATGTTACTGAGAAGAATAAAGCACTGACAAATTCAGTTTCACTGTAAACAACGGCGCTGCTCAGCGTAGTAAAGATAGGCCTGAGAACGCAGGGACAAGCTGCATGGAGAACAAGCTATTTATGGTGCTTCCAACGACAGCTGACTCGGACACAGATATAAATGATGCAACCCAGATAGCTATGTTTACTCACGGAGCTGATGAGAATTTTGAAGAGCCTGCAGAACTTCATGGACAAAGTTCTCATGATAAGCACATTAGGAAATGATTCATTTTTGTGTTCTGTGAAAAGTTTAATGCAGACTGATCAAAATAAATATGTCACCCTCACTGCTAATGTTGTGCATTTTATTCAACTGGAACATAACACTGTGCAAGGCTATGACACGTAAGCCATTCATCACATCATTCCAATTACACTATCACCCTCTAGGAACGGGGACTCAGAACACAGTGACCTCACAGTCACATGGGCGGTACCCAGCAGCACAGCAGGACCTCTGAGTTGAATGGCATGCAGTTCCACATTTTGCTCCATAAACTGGGTGCCCAACGCAACTGTCTCCTGGAGGGCTTGCGGAGGTGGGAGGTGTGGTGCTGAAGAGAGCAATCGGACCTGGTGACCCTCACAGTCACGAGCAGTTGATTTTCGAAACTTTATGGAAATTACATAATCTGCTCTTTTTACAAAAGAAAGCTACAGTGCAACATGACAGGAAAAATTAAACATGACTGACATGGAATCTCAGATTCTCACAAATATCTCAGGCCGTTCTCTAAATGGAAATGCTCTCTATGCCAACATTCTGGTCCAATTTCAAAGTACTTATATTTATGAACAGCTGTTTTCTATCATGAAGCTCAACAGCCTCAGTGGTTAGGGAAGTCAAAGTCCAGGCAGCACTGCAGCCCAGTCCAAAAGGTGAGCTGTGCCACTGAGACTCTGGCAGGGACCAGAGATTCCCCAATCTTCATGGCACCAGAAGACAATTTTTCCATGGACTAGGACAGGGGAGATGATGATTTCAGATGGTTCAAGCACATTACATTTATTGTACACTTTATTTCTACAATTATGACATCATAATATATTATGAAATAATGAGACAGCTCACTATAATGCAGTATTTGCAGCTGCTCCCCGGTGCTAGCATCTCTGCTTCATCTCCACCCAGATCACTGTGTGTTATATTCTCATAAGGAATACTCGACCTAGGTCCTTTGTATGCACAGTTCACAATAGGGTTCATGCTCCTTTGAGAATCTGATGCCGCCACTGATGTGACAGGAAGTAATGCAAGTGATGGGGAATGGCTGTAAATGCAGATGAAGCTTCACTCCCTTATCCACTGCTTACCTCCTACTGTGCAGCCTGGTTCCCAACAGTGGACCCTGGTATGGACAACAAGCATCAGACAATAGGTTGTGCACAAAAAGAGAAGTACTGGAGGAAATTTACTTTAAGCCATCTTTCATTATATTGGAATACTAAGGTCCAATATTAAAGCAGAGGTAAGTAAAAATAAAGTTAGTGTCTATATCTGTTAGCTGATCTTATACTAGGCTAGCTGCATCACCCAACCTGCTTAGTTCCCTTCGGTATCACTAAAGTGCTATTTCTAGATACAGTCTTGGCAACTACATTTTTTTTCTATTTTATAATTTCCTCTTTACATTTAATGGTGTACACCTCTGTGGGGCACATCATTTTTTTTTAAAAAGTGGCTTAAAACAACATTTACTATCTTATAGTTTCTGTGTGTCAGAAATCTGTTTATGACTTAACCAAGTCCTCTGGTTCCAGATCTCACAAGACCACAAGAAAGGTTTCGTTTGAGTTAGTCACTGCAAGAGACAAATAGAGGACATACTTCTAAACTCATATATATGGTTGTTAACAGGATTCGGGACCTTTCAGGTTTGTGCTGAGGACTTCAGTATCTCCCCGACTGTTGGCTTGAGGCTGCCCCCAAGTTTCCTGCCACATGGGCCTCTTGATAGGACAGCTCACATTAAGGGACTCTGCTTCATCAAAGAAAGCAAAAAGCCCTTCTTTCTCCTCTACCCTCCTCTCAGGATTTTGGGTGCACACACACACACACCAGCAGGGTCCTCAAACTGCAAGGACCAGGACTCAAACCATGCAGTCAGCTATGTGGAATCCAGATCCCCAACCACCATGCCACCTGCTCATTCTGTCGTCCTCAGTGTGCATTTTCATGTCATGGTCCTGAATGAATGTTCCAACATCAGCCATCACTTCTGCACTCTGGGCCACAGTCAGTGCTGGCAGCACTACGTTGCTTTCCGGAGGCCCTAGGAGTGAGTCTATTTCTTACTCTTCTCAGCTTTCAGGAGCCATACTCATTCCTTGGCTTATGGGTTCCCCTCCCCCAGCTTCAAAGTCAGCAATGGCAGGTGAAGTGTTCATGCCCCACCCCAGCACTCTGACCACAACACGGACTTTCAAATCATGCTGTAATGTGCTACAATCAAGTCAAGGACAATACCATATTCACTGCTTTCAACAAAGTGAATCGCATTTGACTGTGTGTGTGTATGTGTGTGTATAATACATATACACACATATTTATGTATACATACACATATACATATA